GAGTTTAGACACATCAACTGTTTTGAAAGAAATAGTTATAGGGGAATTCAGCATTTACTCCCCACCCTTTGTGGATTTTTCAACTTCAACTACACCTTTTCTCATGGACCTCATCATTGTCCCCACAGTTCTTATGTACTACGATATCTTAATCGTGAAGGTGACCAGAGCCGTGGCTCTATGTATTTAATCTATGCCTCCTCCTTCCTTCCCTGCGTCACGAACAAATGACGCTTTAATCTTATAATTGATCTTTTAGATATTCCGGCTAGAGACCGAAAACGACATACTGAAGGCCAATATACCTGAAGAAATTTTGAGAACATTGAACATGGGACACATTGGTTAGAAGAGCTGGCTAATGTGCTCCTCGCATATGCACATCCCATTTGACCAGGAACACTAGTTGTTCAGACTATGTAATCCGTACCAGTTCTATGGCATGTGATTTAGTCGTAGAGATTCTGACACCTGTATAACTCTTGCTTGCTACATTCTAAGTTTGAATTTACAGATGTTCTTGTGAATATGACAATATGCCTTAACTAATAAACTCCTATGCGATTTGTTATTTTGTAGAAATCGTGGTTAGGAGAACGGGCACTAAATGAGATTGTATTTTGTGGGTTCTTCTCATCACTTGCAAATATATGGTATTTTCTGTGCTCTTTACTGAAAGGTAAACAGCTTGTTTTCTCCGTGATGTTGTTTTTATTGTGAATACTGTATCGTCATCTCACTTGTATACTGTATAAATAATGATTGCGTATGTTTTACATTTACAAAATAACCAGCAAATAATTCTAATGTTTGTCCCAAACATGCCTCTTAATCTCTTTTGCAAATGTGGCACCTGCTTTTGATATCCGCTGTTTTAGGAAAGCAGAGAACAGCGTTTTTCCACTTTTGGGAATTGTGTTAAATTTCGTTTTCTCTGCTACAAAAGAATTTATGGAGTAATTTTTAGAGTTAATACCAATGTCTGACTAGCATGTTCGAAACATTTT